TGCATAGGTAGTCAGCCAGCTTAGTTTAGGAGGAACGATGGGCAAAGTGTGTCTTTAAATAAGGCAGAGTTTCTAAGGCACAGCTTCTGGCAGTGGAGTGTGTAGTCAGGGGAAGGAACTTGCATGTCCTTCCATGAGCAGATTCTGTTGGAGAGGCAGGATATTGGCCCCAGGCAAAGTCAAGGACAGCATCCTCTTAGCAAGGGAGAGGTCAGGTGCCAAACGTTCAAAATTAACACACTCGGACTGAAAACACTGACATCAGGAGTTACAGACATGGGTGCAGCAAACGGGATGCAGATCGTCCCAGTAAGCAAGAGGATCTGAGCGTAGTCAGCAGGCCATGGCAGAAGCAGGGCAGCCCCAGCCAGAGGTGGATGGGGCAGGGGTGGAGGAAGCTGACCAGGTCACAGGCCATAGGTAGGCTGGGCCCACAGAGCAAACCTAGGGCTGCCCCAGAGGGGCTCCTTCTTTCCCTGACTTTCTCCCAACTTCAAAGTCACCATGTTTCTTTAAAAATGCTGGAAAGGCTGTGAAAAGTCTCTGAGCAGCAGGGGCTCCATGGCTGCTAGGAAATGTCTTAAAGGCCTCAGGATGTCTGCCAGCATTCACAACACTCTGTGTTCACCTCTTTATCTACCTGATGGTGAATACTAATTCACAACAGGCCAGTGACTTGTGCAACTCTGGTACTCTCTCTCCACTTCTGAAAGCATTTTTGTGGCTCTCACGGAATGACTGAGTGGAGGATAGTTTGGAGTGTAGTGAAATAGGGATGTCATTGTGGAGATATTTTCATCCTCCAACAGCAAAACACACAAGCGGGAGTTAAATCACCTAAACAGACTGAATGTAAAGGAACAATGTTGTTGTGTAACCAGGCAGGGTGTGTGTGCATGAGTGTGCATGCGTGTACGTGTGTGCATGTGTGTGCCTGTGTGTGTGTGTAACAGTGACATGGTGCTTGGAGAGTAAGATGATTGGGAATTAGGATGTTCCCTGAGAACAGTCGGGCTCCCTCTTGGTGCCCTCTAGAACATTTCTACACTTCCTGTACTTTTATCACTGTGAAATGATCTCGCAGCAACCATCCCACTTCTCACTTCATGCAGACCTTGCATAAGGACCTTCCATTCACGGTCTCATCAAGCCAACAGCTAAAAACTGGTGCTAAGCAGATAATATCTAATTTTCAAAGTATCAGATTGGCCTGCAAACTCCTTTTTTAAATTTTTCAAATTTTTTGTCAATATATAAAACTTGGACTGTTTCCTGCAAAAACCTAGAACTCTTGCTTTTCTTGAAGACAGAGAAAATTGGCATATACTGGGTCTTCACCAGTGTGCCAGGTCAAAGCAATGGGTTATCCATCTGAGTGGGATAGGTGTACCTCAGATTTCCACAGGGTCCCACTCCCTATTGTATCCTAGTGTTGCCTGCTATTTTTGTCATACTCACAATGCTTTTGTTTCTTAATGTAAAATAAGAAAAAAGTGCAATATATATTACACCATCACAACTAGCAGATATAGGAAACCAAAAGAAACCTAGAGTATCTCTACACTCCAAAAATGTTTTCTTACACCAGTTTGGTTTTATTTCACCCCTGTACTTTACCTGTGTACATGGGTAAAATATGGGCACCTGAGTTTCAGAATCTGTTGGACTAGAAGTGTGTGAATGACGGTGAGTTCGACAGTAGCTAACCTCTGACCTAAACATGATTTCTTTTAGGGAGTGGTCATGACTCCCAATCGTGTTCTGTAAACACCCATGTCAGTGTGGACATTAATAAAGCAGCAGTCAACCCAGTTCAAGAATCTACCTGCTCAGAGCACTAGGATTTATTTGACCCATCAAATTTCCTCTTTTATTTTTGTAAGGAATGATTCCTGGATATAGCTTTTAAAGGCTAAATAATATTACCCTTACTACCCGTGTGAATGATTATGTACAGAATTATGTATGCACGGAGAGCTGGGCAGACTCAATGACCTCTTACAGTCTGACAGGCTTAGAGAAGCAGGTTGGAAGGTGGGCAGTGCCCATCAGTCAAGACTTCTGAACGAACAAGGCTGAGTGTTTCTGCAAGAAAACAGAGATTTTTTTTAAAAGTGGCTCTCTCTGAACTATAAAATCCTTCTTTAAAAAAAGAAAACCACAGATGGAAGCATTGTACTGAGGAGCTCTGAAGACTAATACATTTCAGGTTCTGGAGTTTTTTTTTAATAGACTACAGAGGTAGTTTTAAAAGGAGAGGAATGCTATTAGAGCTGAGCAATTAAAACCCTGAAAATATGAAACACACTCACAGGCCACAGCAGTGGCGTGTACTAAGAAACACAGTTTCAAAGAGAAACAAAATCAAGGCAAGCGCTAGATGAGGCCAATGATCAAGATGATATAAATCAATCAGGTGACATGGGACCTTCCTCCTTGGGGTGCCTGGGACTCTGAAAACTCAGGATAATGGGCACACTGCCAGTGTAAGCTCTATATTTTGTTTGCAATGCATCACATGCAGTCTGAAGCATAATTAACCCAAAAAGCAAGCCCACTTCCACATAATGGAATCTGTCTGGATCTTGACCATTTCATTTTTATATGTTGTGCATAATAAAAGGTTGAAAATTCAGATGTGGTTGATTATTATCCTTGCTTCCACTCCTCCCCAAGCTTCCCTGTTCCTTCTCCTCTTTGCTCTACCTTGCTGTGTCTTTGAGGTGCTTATCTACGAATGGAGTCATCCCACCCAGGTTCCTGGTGGCCTCTGGTAGAAAACTGGAGGACAGGAGGAGATGGAGGGATCACAGTACCCACTTCTACACTGTCTGCTGAGCCTCATGCCTGGCAGTGGGTAACTTCCTGTTCCTGGGCTTCATCTACCTTGGGGCAGCTATTCCTAGTCTGTGACTCCCTTTTTTTATGCCTTCAGACCTTAGGCAGGTGACCGCACCTTGCTGTGGGTAGATCCTGGCTATTTCTATGCTCCGAACTATCTCTTCTCAGTCTTTTGCACATGGTGTGGGCATGAAGTTCTGTGTAACAGAATCTTTTATTTGGGTTCCTTATTCCAGGACCAGAACTCGTTTGCTAGAAGTTTTGGGTAACTCTCAAGTACTTGGGCATTAGGATCAGTAATGATGATTATTATAATAATAGTTCAATTTAGTGGAGCTCTTTCGGCAAACCAGGTAGTATATTTTATCTCTATTGTACCAGAGGTAAGGTGTTTTTATCTTCTCTATTTTTCACATAGGGAAATTAATGCTTTGCATCATAATTAAATAATTTGTTCATGGTTTCAAAGTAATGCAAATACTAACCCTGAGACTCAAACTCTGGTCCCTCTGAAGCTATCATAGCAAGACAGGGTGGATAAAAGAGATGTTCTGAAATCGCTAAGGAGCTGCTGGGAAGACTTCAGTCTTTCTCTGCATGTAACCCAAGGGCAGCAATACTGCTGAAGTGTGGGCTCAGTGCTGCTCTTATTAGTATTTAGCAACCTGTTCTCTGTGTAGTGAGGGGCAGGGTGGTGATGGAGGAAGCACTGAACTCTAGTTCTGGGCAATCCCTGTGGTATAAACATGCCCACCATACCTGATGCCATACTACCAAATCGCTCAGCGTGGGCCTAGAAAGAGAGGCACATAGCCATCCTGCAAGTTGGCTTGCAGGTATGAACCTACTCCAGTGTACCACTGGCTGGAAGTACCAAAATATAGATATTTTTCTATATAAGTGGAAGAGCCATCTAAAATGCTCATCAGCTGACCTGTGAAGAAATGAGCTAATCATTTTGTAAGTAACTAGAGGTTCAATAAGTTTTCACGGCCTTGTAGAGGGAATTCCTGCACTCAACAGGACTTGAGTCAGCCTCTGTAGTCATGTCTAATGCTAGTATCAAAAGATTTGTGTCCAGATCACATGCATGCATGGTGAGAGGAAAGAAAAGAAATGTCACATGGATTCTATGGGAAAGAAACTTGAAGAAAAAGGAAAAAAAGGAACAACAGTCATACAAAGCTAAATGTCCTGATCTCAACGCTGCACAGAGCTGTGTGACTTTGAACAAGGCACTAAACCTTCCTGCGCCTGTGCCTTCTCCTCTCTAAAGTGGAGGTAACAACTCCTTTTCTTCTTGATTAAATGAGTGAGCTGAGAGAGGTCATCAAAGGCACTAGCTGTGCTCCCCACTCTCACATTTTCATTCACTCCTCCCCTACCTGCGGTGGAGGTGGACAGTAAGCACCCATATGGGCATCACTCTATAAATAAGTCAGTGGATCAGGTTAAAACACAAGACCTCTGTTCCATGGTTTGATGTAGGATATGAAAAAGTGTATAGCATACACTGAGTTGCTTTATAATGTGGCTCCGCTGGAATTGGCTGGAAATTGAAAGAAAAGAGAAAAAGAAGTCTACTGGGACCTTGACCACTAAGAAACTAAAAGCCGGAGAACCATTCTGATGTTCTCAGATCAGAAATGGAGCCAGCTGGAATGTTTTTGCAAGCCTGCCTCCAGTGTAGCGCTATCAGACAAAACAAACTAACAACCCGCCAAATTGGCTTTAGACACAACAGTCTACACTGGCACTGCACAGTAGTGTTCAAGAACAAGAAAAATAATGGCCACCCTTGCAAGCCCCGAGTCCTTTGAAAGGGGAGAGTCAGCACCTGACACTCAGGTTTGCCTGGCCATTGACAAAGGTGGCCCCAAATCTCAAGGCTCCAGCAAGAAAGCCATCATCACAACTCCCCTCCCTCACTGATGTTCCCAAGAGCTGGTTTCACTGCAGGGATGTGTGAATTTTAAAAGCACAGTTCATAGCAGAGACGGATGCCACTTGTATCAGCTGTCCTTTCGGAATCTCCTCCTCATTACACTGGGCTAAGCAAAGCGAAAACAAGAGATTACACATGGAGCGATTAACTAGGTGTGTCTCAGAGTAGGTGTGGTCCCCAAGGGCCCTAACCAGACTTCAGACGAGACATTCTCCTTAATTTTATTTCCAAAAAAGAATTTTTAAAAGTTTTAAGTCTAATTCTAAAGTTGTCACCTAATGTAGGTAGGATACTGCTTGATTTCAGAGAGGCTGGCAAGATTGGTTATGGCCAGAGCAACCTAGAAGTCTATGGACCATTCTCTATTTTCACCTCTTACAAAACTGAGCGTTTGAGGTGAAGAGCTGGAGAGTCATCGTTCCAGTGCCTATGATGTAGCAGACACTTTGCTGTTTCTACGTTGAAACTTTCTGAAAACTTTGTCCTCTTCTTCCCCTACAAGAAAAAGGGAAACTCGGTCACAAAGTAACTTTTCAAGAGTATAAAGGACAGGTCTGGGGAGACAGATCAGCAGCATATGGGACTGCCTGGCAAGTACAAGGTCCTGAGTTAGACTCCCAGCGCCAATAAAATAAAATAACCAGTCAAGTATATTTAAATCCAGCTCTAACGTTATAAACTTTTTTCCTACTCTACCATTCAACTTTCCACCCTATTGAAAGTCCTTGAGTGGTTGTAATGAACACTGAGCATCTAGCTAAAGCTACTAGACATCTGAGTGACTGGGTGGGAAGTGCAAAGTGCATCCCACCCAGGACATAGCTCAGGTCCGTCTCGATTGAGATCAGCAGGCTTGCTGTGCAGATAGAACCCGCTGAGCTAGACTTTGTCCCGGGAGGACTTAGAATCTTGGGAAAACAGAATCACACAAGAAAAACAGCAGATGCCACTACCCCGTGGTTAATCAATATAAATGGGATGGTTCCCCAAATCATCTCAACAAGAACTCAGCCAAAGGGAAGGCGGGTAGAGCAGATGTGCTGGGAGCACAGTAAAGCTGGAGGCTTTGGAGAGGGAGGACGTCGTGGTCAGGTTGGCTCTTATTAAGTCAGGGGATGATTAGAAATTAACTGAAGCCCAAAAGTGAAGGCCCACCCACGTAAAATCATAATACAATTTTGTTACATGCATTCAGAGGAACAAAAGTAAAACACTGGAAATATCAAGCACTCATAAGGATATGGAGTAACTGGAGCTCTCAAATACTATCGCTAGAGGAGGTGCAGATTGGTCATGGCCACTTTTGAAAAGGATTTGGCAGCTTCTTCTAAAACTAGTCACACAGCATAGATGTTCACCCAAAGACAAAATGTTAATCACAGCACATTCACAGTAGCCAAACGGGAAATTATCCTCATGCCTATTAACAACTGAACAGATTTTGTATAGGGAAATAGTAGCAGCGGAAGGAATGGGCAATCTAAAATCACAGCCCAAAACAAGGATAAATGTCTCTAATATTGAGTGAAAGAGGGAAGACCAAAAGAGTACATTCTGTGATGCCATTTATACTGTCAAAAATAGATTAAAACAGGTAAACCATTGCAAAGCGGACTGCATTGCTTTGCACTACTGTAAGTTAGGACAGTGGTTATCCTGGGGGAGCCCGACTGCAAGAGGCATTAACAGAGACGTTAGGGGTATAAGTAATATTCAGTTGTATAACCTGGGAGTCTGCCACCAAGGTATGTTTGATTTGGGAAAAGCATACAATTGTATACTTGAAAAATGTGTAGATGATCTATCAATAAAAGATTAAAAAGTAAATGCATGTGTAAGTGGCAATCATTACACAAATGAGTATTTCTTGAGTTTGTCTTAATACCAGTTTTTCTTTTTAAAAGGAAAGGGAGCCTGGCCTTGCAGAAGGGTGGTCTCTCTCTGTCTTGTTGTCATAGCTATAGTGACACTTGTGGTGGATTATGGAAAGCTGAGTCACACCTCCAGGCAAAGAGGTATGAAATTGACACCAGAAGCTGAGAAGTACCCTTCTCTTCTGTGCCCCCCGCCTGTGTCCTCCTGCATCTTCCTCCTGTGTCTGTATCACCTCCTGCTAAATCTTAGCCTCCTAAATCAACATATCTTGATCTTAAACCTCATAGGAAGGAATGTTTGCTTTTGTAACTGGGTTCAAAGTACAAACTACAGTAGTTGGCTTTTGAGGCTGTGTTATAGGCTTAATTTTCTTTCTCAAAATGAAATGAAGAATACATTAAAACTGAGAAAGAAAAACACCATGATTTATGAACTAGCTTACATGACTACAGCTTCTTAATCAACAACAATATTAGGTACATTCCTGTATTACTGAGATCAAGCAATATGCCTGGATCTAAATGACACAAAATGGTTTGAATTAGAGCCAAATAATTGCCATTCGGAGAGAACATAAACTTTTCTGAGGGGATTGGCAAACGAGGATAAAAAATAACTAATAAAATCTGAAGCAATGCTCACATCTAAGACCTAAGCTTCAAAGCTCTTTAAAAAAGGAGCCTTTTTTTCTGAGAGAGAGAAAGAGAGAGAGAGAGAGAGAGAGAGAGAGAGAGAGAGAGAGAGACAGGAGGAGTGGTTTTCCCAAGCTGATTTTTCTTATGGGGTGACCCAGCCTGGGTCGGAATGTGACCATGTGATCAGTCCAGACCGCTGCAGTGGCCCAGTCTCAGCACAGAAGTTAGGACTTTCTGCAGCATCATTAAAATAATTGGGAGAGAAAAAAAATGTTAAGCTCCACAAGCTTGAATCACAAGCCTCTTGGAAAGGTTAATAAGCTTTCTGCTGTGTACCTCCTCCCCTCTCCTCAATGCCCCGCCACCCCCACCCTTCCGACTTGCAATGACAGACTGGTTATCAGTCCTGGAGAAGAGAGGATTCAGAATAAAGCCTTTGTTTCCAACCGCTGAACAGCCCCAGCCCACTGTGGATGTTTTGGAGATTCTTGATTATGGCCATGAACAAGGAGCTCCAAAAGGGAGTCTCTGCCTTTGCTTTCATGGCTGGGAGCTACTGAGCCAGCAGACTCTTGAGGGCCAAAAGGTGTATAGATCCCTCAGCGTAAAAGGATGCCTGGGAGAGGAGAGAAGAGGGCTGGGGTGTGTAGGGCCGAGGCAGAAGCTGCAATGAGAGGGGGAAGCACAGATCCAGGGAGAGGAGACTTGAGCCTCCTTTATCCAGGGAAGCAGAAAGGGTTGTGGGGCAGAGAAAGTGTCAGAGCGTGGAGCCAGTTCAACTGCATGGGTCCTCTGCCAACTGGAGGGCCGTGAAATTGGATAACTGGCTTTGTGTCAGGAGAGAGAGAGACAGAGAGAGAGAGAGAGAGAGAGAGAGAGAGAGAGAGAGAACACATGGGAGAAAGGGAGGGAAAGAGACCAAGAGATGGATAGAGACAGAGATCAAGCAGAGGGGTGAGCACTCTTCCTCCTCATCCTTACTTGGCTTGTGGTCAAGATGGGCTTGACCACAGAAGACTATGGGCCAGGCTACTGTCACCACCTGCTGCTTGAAAATAGGACACAGCATGGTTAAATGATGAGACGGCTCCATGCTTCTCTCCATCATCAGGAACCTTGGGCAGGCAAGGCGGTACTCATGCTAGCTGTTCATGGGGCCGCTAGAAACTCGCCTTCCATAAGGAGCCAATGGCAGCTCGGTTTGGTGAAAGCTGGTTGATCCAAGGAAGTGGAGCCCCTAAGGAAAGAGAGAAGTACAGTTCTTAAGAAAGATATTTCTGACCATGACCAAGGGAGCCAGGACCCATAGGGGAGCTCTGCACACCCCTGCGTTGAATGGAAGATCTTGGGAAATGTGCACAGCTGTTTGTGTTTTGGAGCTCAGACTTCACAAACGCAGCTACAGCTCCCCCACTGAGTTCCACCTTCTGGGCCAGTTCACCATTGAGGCCCTCCCAGGAAAGCCCATCAGACCTCTTCAGCTGAATCCTTGCTCAGTTGATCAACCTTTTAGAATTTGCTTCATTCCATATCCTAATCCCAAGGACTCCCATACTGTGGGCTTCTTTCAGGAGATGAGCAGTCTTGTTAGTGATCCCCAGAGGTTAATTTTTAAATGTTATTTATAGGAAACTCCATGTAACCACTCAGTGATCCACACTCTTCCCATCTGCAGCTCTGCTCTCTCTTCTAGGGCTTTGGAGTCCTCACTATTCAGCTCCAAATGGGAAGGTAGATGGTATAAAAGACAAAAGGTTAAGAACGCTTCATTTGCAAGTGATATATACCATCTCTACTCAAAATCTGGGGAAATGTACTCACACAGCCCAACCCAGATTCAGGAGAGACTGGGAAATGTCATCCTTTCTAGAAAAGGACTTCTCAGCCCAAGAGCCCTTTTGGTCTTAAAACATAACTCTTTGGTAAATAACCAGCTGTGTACAACTTCCCATCGGACATGGGGATACCTGCCTTGGCCCCAACTAACTTGCAGTACCACTGCAAAAATATATGCTCTTACTAATATATGCAATATATGCATGACTAAAAGCCATGTAAATTAGAGGATGTCTTTGAGGAAGCTGAATTTTGAAATACAACAAACAGACAAAGCTCAAGGGGCAAAGCGTTCAGGTAAAAAAAAACTGATTCCCATTCATGGCAGAGTATAGGGGTAGGAATCTACAGTCTTACTGGTGAATGTTTTCCAGTTTTAGTATTGCAAGTACTTGATGGTAAGTCACATGATCAGAAAGGTATAGTGACAAGATTCAAACTCTGATCACCCTGGTTTGATACCTTATTATTATTGTTATTATTATTACTTTATTCATTGTTTTCCTATTCAGTGTTTTCCTCTCTCTCTCTCTCTTTCTCTTTCTCTCTCTCTCTCTCTCTCTCTCTCTCTCTCTCTCTCTCTCTTTCTCTCTCTGGTTGAATCCAGGGCCTTCCCACTAAGCTACATCCCTACACTTGTTCATTTTTAAAATTATGAACAGGGTCTTTCTAAGCTGCCCAGGCCGGACTCAAGCTAGTAATCTTTCTACGTTAGCCTCCCAAGTAGCTGGCTGGGACAAAAATGTGAGTCATTGAATCTGACAATAGAACTTCATAATATTTTTGGTAATAGGTTATATTTTCTCAGTTCCTGTGCCCTTATTGTTTCTGAAGTGTAAGTTCATAGTATTTAATACATTATCCACCAAAAAATGGAGTTAATTTTTCTATATCCATAGATGGTAGAGACTAAGTTATTTCTCTCACCCCATCCCTACTTCTGTGACCACAATGAGAAAAACACAACACAGAAAGATGCTCATCTGTCTGAGTCCTCAAAATGTGACAGATGGAGCAGATTTCAACCCAATCCTAAGCCTAGATCAGGCCTCATCAGCTCTCAATCTGAAGCAAGGTTGCCCAGGTTGACTTGCGAACCCACGAGGGACAAACATAAATTCTTATTCTCAGCCTTTAAGAATTAAAAGGATTTATTATTCAGCTGACTCATAAAATGTTCATTAGTTAGCAAAGTTACATACAGCTGCACTTTTCAAGCACCTGCTATGAATGTTTATATACAGCATATTATTTTTGATCTCATGTAAACTAATAATTCTTGCTTTAGCTTGAAGGGCAACCTGTGTCCTCCATGGCTAACAAAACTGAAGTTCTTATATGAAGGAAAAGTTCCTGTTTAACCCTAGAAAAATAGTAGATTTTGGAGAGCATCAAGAATGACATTTATGAAAGATTTAAGATTTGTCCATCTGTCTTTTTCTTTTTCATGCATTCAGGAGATTATTCGTGGCCAAAGGGGGATATCATTTCTCTCTGGTTCCAGTTCAGACCAAAAATCTCTTTGCTTAATTCTTCACCTAGCTTTTAGGTAAATGGGAAAAACAAATCAACAGTTATAAAGATTGGCAGCATCATTTCCCCCATTTGCACATCTTTCTCTGAGGCTCAATCACTTAGAATAAATAAACAGAAAACACAGAAGTGAAGGGATCAGGCCCTAGGTAGCATTTTGAATATGCATATGTCAAAGATAATTGGAATTTCTGAAGTAAAATTGTAAGTTTTCCATTGTTCATCCCTTAAGTTAGGTAATAGTCTTCAAATCTTTCTCTTCTTTGTCAGGGCAAAAAATAGAATCATATAACCAAGAACTCTACAGGCTAGGCATAGCCTGAAATGTGGTTTCATCCTGTTACATGCTGAAATAAAATGTCCAGATCTCTACTCCATTTAATTAGTTACCACAGAATTTTATTTGACATTAGTTGTTTGCGTGAACATTTTGCTATTGCGTATATACGATGTCTGTGTGACATTTCACTGCCCATCACTTACCCCACTCACCACAAAGGCACTGTCATGGCAGACATAACTAATCCACTCCCAGCCCTCTTCCTGCTAAGCCTCATATCCTTTCTTAGCACGGTGTTGCTGCCAGCAGTCACTACTAATTGATTCGTCTGAGATAAGATCTCTTTATTTTTCTTAAGATGTTATGTGTATTTTCTATATTATTATTTGTTTCAGGTACATTCTACCTTCTGTTAGTTTACAGTGTATAAAGTCACCTTTCACATAACAATCAAGGTAATTCTAAAATGACAGCAGTCATAAGTTATAATATTCCTAATTCATACCACATTCTTTTTTTTCCCTTGGACTTGAAATGGTCTACAGATAGCGATCATCATGATTAACAAAGGCACTGAGAAAATTGAAAGTGTTGCTTACAGAGAACCAAGAAAATTAACAAGACACATAGGAAACTGCCTGTGTCTTTCAGAAAAATTCCATAAGAGCTAGTTAAGCGCATCCTCAGAAAGCATGAGAAAGGCTCTCCCTGTGTCTCCGTGATTTACCTACACATTGGGAGAATCACGTCCAAAAGCAAGTAGCTGCTTTTGGGTCAGAAAAACAAATTTTATGTTGTAACTGGGTGAGATTATTCATAGCAAACACAGTATAGTTTCAGACAAACTAGGGGAAATGTGCTAAAGAGAAAACACATTATTAGCATAAATGACTCATGGGTGTTTTCAAACTGATTAAAATGCACAACTCTGAATTTATCAGTGCAGGGCTCCCTCTGCTCTCCACCCCTTCCCCCCGCCCCTGCCAGGCACCCCCTCCAATGTTCCCTTTTCTCCTATTCTGAATGCATCAGTGTCCCAGAAATTCTGGCAGCCCTCCTAGGCCAGCTGCTGCCTCTGACCTGGACATTCCCAGCTTTCTACAAGGTCACAGGACATGTTGTATTCTGGGATTCTTCTAATGCAAGATGGGAAGGGCTTGAAACTACACGTCCTCACTGTCCCCATGACCTGAGTCCCTGGTTGGCTGGTCCAGTTTACAAACTCAGACTTTGATTTCCAACCTTGTGGTCAGGATTTGAATTAAAGGTAATCCTTCATTTGTAAATTCAGTCCTTCATTCAGCCCAGCAACTGCCAAAATAATTTATGGAATAAATATCTGCCCTTCAATATTTCAGAGAGAAAAATTTAGACAGAAGTGTGTAGGTTTAGATGTAGTGATTTCGATGCTTTATTGCTTATTCCAGAGAAGAAAGTTGTTTCTCTACCCATAAAGACTATCCACACCTGCATCACAGGTGTTGAAAGCACCGTTGGCTGGGTATGTAGCTCAGTGGTGGAGTGTTTACTTGCCATTTGTGAGACCCTGGGTTTGATATCCACTGCTGCAAAAGATGGCATACATTTTTTAAAAAATAAAATTATAAAGCCCCCTCTTCAGTCTTCCAATGGCCTTGGCTGTTCAGTCCATCGCTGGGTGATGTTTACATACTTTCTGTCACTTATGCCCGTTGGCTTGTTTGTGCCGGCATGCTGATGGGAATGGAAGCCCTTCTAAGGAAAGTCTTGGTTTTGGGCTCACCTGGAAATGGATGGGACACCCACCCAAACTGTGGGCACACACACGTGTCTAGTCACTCTTTCCTGGCAGGTCCCGTAATTGGGGCCTGATTCCAGTGCTGTCTGGCAGAGGCCACATGAACAGAGGCTGCAGCAGGAAAGTCCTGCTCCCTCTCCATCTTCTTCCCGCCATTCTTACTGTAGAGAAAGAGCCAAACAGCATGTCCATGTAGATTAGAAGGAATGAAGTAAAGAAAACAAAAGTAAATAAGGAAAAAGGGAAAAATGAGGGAGATTTTTGGGTTGTCAGAAAAGGAGCAACTGGGTACTCCTGGCATAGACTCAAACCTGGAAAGCCAGCAAAGTCTGCCCATCGCTAATGATCACATAATGTGTTCCCCAGGGAGGAGCCGAGAGAGGCTATTAAAATACCAGGGCTCTGGTGCCCTAGAGGAGAGGAGCCTTCGGAAACGTGGTCCCTGTCAAGTTTCCCTTGAGAGTCAAAAAAACAAAAGACTGCTGTTTGGCCCCTGCCAGGTAAAATGATGGGAAAAGAAGCTGGGGAGGTTTCTCTTCCCAGTCCAAGATTTGGAAATGCCTGCATTCGGCTTGGGTATTTTAAACGTGGTGATGGGCCAGCTTGTTAAGTGTGCTGGCTGCCTAACCAGGTGACTGGCAGGCAGCCTTCAGGGAGCGGAAACTAAACCATTTGAGGGGTATGAAGTGGCCAAAAGAGCCAAACCCAGGCCTTTGTGATGTCTTCAATCAAAACTTTCTTTCAAAAGGTGCTGGCAAGTTTGGGTTTCCTTCTAGGGTGATACGGCTCTCTGGCTGTGTACACGTAGTCTTTGGGCACCCTGTGATCCCTATGGTAGAAGAAAAGCCCTAATTTGAACAAGTCTTATGGATTACACATGGCAAAGTTTGGCAAAAGGGTTTTTTAAATGGTTTTTATTGAGGTATAATTTAATACAATTAAATTACCCACTTTAAGTATGTAGTTCAAAAGGTTCTAACAAATGTATACACTCATTTAACCACTACTGAAATCCAGGCAGGACATTTTCACTGCCCTAAAATGTTTCCTCTTGCCCCACATTTGCAGGCAGGACTGTCCTCCAAACCCAGAAAACCACTGATTGTTGTTCCATGGCTTTACCTTGGTTTTGCTTGTTCGAGAAAGCCGTACAAATACCATCATGTGGTGTGTATTATTTTGCCTGGGGCCTCTTTTGTTTAGCATAATGTGTTTGCATTTTGTTTATGCTGTAAGTATTCAGAAGTCAATTTTGGGGTGTTTTTTTTTTATTACTGGGTAATGTTTTGGGGACTGAATATACTGCAATATACTTATTTACTTGTTGGATACTTGGATATCTAATGGAAAGAAGAAACAATATAACAGAGTAAGGAGAGAGAGGTGAAAATGGAAAAAGTGATTTAGGAAGCTGTAAAAATATGAGAAAAGGCTTAAACTGACACTGCAATGAAAAAGATATCCAAATAGCCAACATTCACAAATCAAAACTAAAGCAGGTTATCACTGTGCCCTCATCAGAATGGCTGAGATCAAAATCACCAAAACTAGTGTGGGCAAGCAGGGAGAGTCAACACAGCTCATATGCCATGCACAGAGGAAGGTAAACTGATAGCATGCTTTTGGGGAACTGTTTGGCAGTATGCGTTGGAGCAGAACACCTGGAAACCTGTGACCTGGCAATGCCACCCCTGAGACTTTGTGCCAAAAGAATAGACACCTGTGTGCATCAAGGGATGCATGCCAGAATGTTCACAGTAGAACATTCAAAATAACTCCACACTGAACATCTGAGTATCCGTCAGCAGCAGGAAGGCTAAAAAATTGTGATACATTTATTATTACACACCAGTGAGAGCCAATACAAGGGATGATCAAAATACACAGTGAATGTCTAAATTAAAGATTGTATTGCAGTAAAAGACACATGGCCATTAATCACCCTCAAAGTAGTCACTGTCACTTGAAGCACACTTATCCCATTCTTCTTGCCACTTTCTGAAGCAATTCTGTTGGATGTACTTGGTGGGCAGGAAGGAAATGCAATAGGAACTTCACAGGGCTGGTAATGTTCTGTTTATTGATCTGATTAATCAGGCTTTCCGTTTGTGAAAATTCAACATCTGAGCTTAATAATTTTTGTACTTTTCAAGTATATTATTCAATAAAGCCTGTCAAAATAGAAGCTCCTTTATATTTTCAATTCTCCATACTCATTTACACACACACACACACACACACACACACACAGAGCTGAGAAATTGTTTACCAGGCATGCTGCTGTTCATAGGATAGAAACAGGTGCTTGGCAGTACATGCCATGCCACTATCAAGAATCCCAGGACATTTGTGGCAATAGGGTGATGTCCAGGAGGTAAAGCCTTGAGGCCCACTCATGGAGGGAGATATTTGTGATAAATAAGCTATTTATTTATCTTATTAAGTTCTTATTTATCTTATTAAGCTTATTTATAGCTTATAAATAAGCTATCAGGCATCACAGAAATTGGTGTAACTCTCTCATGTGAATCCATGAATGCCGTTTCTCATTTTTTTAGCATGAGAAAGAGGCATGATTAGTTGAACCCACCGGCTCCTGACTTGTGTTGATCTCTCACATGTGTCAGTCTTTGCTTTTGGTTTTTCAGCAAGTTAACTAAGGCATCAAGAAAAACAATAGTTTGCAATCATGGTTGTGAGCAGCACAGAGAAAGACAAGTAATATAAAGAACCTATTTCTCAAAATTCCTCCCCCAGTATGATTCGAAATAGCACTATTGTAGAAGAGTTTGTTTTGTTTAAGGTGTCTCACCTATAAAGAAATGGTTTGTTTAAAACAATTACCACTCATGGGTACCAAGTTCTTTGTCCAAGGATATTTGTCTGAGTCTCAGCTCTGCCACTTCCTAGTTGAGTGGATTTAAGTAAGTTAAAAAGCAAACAAATAAACCAATAGCATTAACTTCTATTTAAGGTCGAGAAACATCCCTAGTTTGTAAATTAGGAAATGATAATGTAGAGAATGTCTCTGACACGCAGTAGGGGTCCCAAATTGGTATGTTTTATTCTTGTCTATTACATCTTTAGTTACTTAGTTTCCACTCCTTATAACTCATCTTGGCCTATTTCCAGGGAAAATCCTGCTCTGGGCTGCTCACATGAGGCACATAACTACCTGGTTCTTAGCTCTTGAACTCGACTCCTGTGTAGAACTTGATGATTCAAGGGAAACCATGGATCTTCATGGCCCCAAGGATGCAGCTGTAGTAAGATTTTCTTTCAAATGGAACCAGGAAAAAGAAGAAGACTTTCTATGACTCAGCAGTGATTAGCCTCCAACTTTCAAAACATTTGCAAACTTCTGCGTTTGGAGAGGACACATAGATCTCCGTTTGTTTCTAAAGGCAATACCAGTGGCAACCAGCCATTTAGGATGAAAGTGGAACTTGGGTGGATTTTGCATCATGTCATTTCTGGTGGCATTTCAAAGTGAAGTGAAGTCCTGGATTAAAGTGAAACAAAGCAGTGATGAGAACACCTCCACTGCATCAGTTTGACTTGGATATTACTCTAAAAGCAAATGAGTACAAGTTGTGCAAATTGATGTGTCTTTTACACAAATGTATGTGGAATCTTCTTTTATTGTTTTCAAAGAGTAACTATAAATCACTAGCAAGGTAGACATTTGCGCCCCATACCCTTCTCTGTCATTTACCTGTTACATGGCATTAGAAAGGTAGCAGTACTTGTCATCAACTTGATTGTCACCTGTACAAACCTGTGTATGTGCCCACATACTCTGGATATGGCAAGTGATGTGGCCAAATGACAAGACCATGAGTGCTTGGTAAGAACTTGATGAGTCTGGTAAAATCCAGACTCAGTCCGTGCCAAGCACCTGCTGTACACAGGACTTACAGAAGGGAAGAGTGGATGTTGCTAGCCAGGATATTTTATATTTTGATTATAAAGCTAAAATTTGCATTTTGAAGAAACAGTGATGGTCTGTGGGTGAAACTGCTTCAACAGGCCATACATGTAGTGTAGTCTTTTAGATTTTGCTTGAAAACACTTGTGGCACTGAGAATTCATTTGTCTCACAAAGATTCTTATTCCACTGCACCAATAGCATTGAAAGCCCCCAAGTCGCTGTTGGCAATCTTTCTCTCTAGACCAAAGCAGGGAGAGGTCTCCGCACCCTTTGTGAGAATTCCTCTGATACTGATGGGAGTTAAGGATGCTATATTGTATAGGCTCCTATCTTCTAGTCTACATACGTCAGCTACTGTAAGATTTGGTGTTCAAATTCTTTCTATACAGCCTCCTATAAAACTCATCTTAATCCAAACTTAGCCAAGTATAATTTGACTAGAAATACATACAAAGATAAGCTCAACATAACTAATGGGTCCTGTCCCTTAAACGCTTCCATTCCCCCTCACATTCACGCAGATTTTCACTGGCGTCTGTAGTACTGCTCTCACTTCTTTAATTTGCATTGTAATCCATTATCACAACTTGCGTGTGAAACTTCTCTTTTTCGTCTTTTCTGTTTCTTCCATATAGTTCTCTTTATAATCTTCCTGACTGCTGTTCTGCTAGTTCTTTCCTCCCTTTCTTTTTTTGTCCCTCTCATTAGAAATAGCATATGAACTGATCTACATACATAACCCCAGCTATTAGGGCATCACAGTAGTTCCACTTTATCCACTTTCTATGGCTTTGCTTTCTATAACTTTAATTATTCTTGATAGCCTGTAGACCAGAAATACTAAATGGAAAATTCCAAAATTAAGTGTAAGTTTCAAACTGCGTGCCTTCTGAGTAGTATGATGAAATTGTGTGGCTTCTCACCTTGTCCTACCCAAGATGTGAAGCATCTCTTCATTCAGTGTGTCCACACTGTATAAGCTACATGCTTGTTAATTACTTTGTACCAGCTCAGCTATCAAACTGACCGGCATGTTACTACATTAGTTTCACAGTGCTTGTGTTCAAGCAACCCTTCTTTCATTTAATAATGGCCTCAAAGCATAGCAGCAATAATGGTGGCAATTTAAATATGCCAAAGAGAAGCTGTAAGGGCTTCTTTTGAAGTGAAAGCTCTTGATTTAATGAGGAAATATGTAGGTAGCATCCTAAGGTTGCTAAGATCTACATAAGAACTAGTCTCCTGTGAAATTGTGAAGGAAAAAGCAATTTATTCTAGCTTTGATATTTTCCCTCAAACTGCAAAATGGTCACGTTGTAAATACAGGGAAAAAGTATGATATAATATATGGATAGTTTGGTGCTGTCTTGCTTCAGACTTACACCCGTAGTCTGGAAATATATCCCATGTGGATGTAGAATACTACAGTTGTTTCTGATTCAGTGTTTCATTTCCTGCATTTCCTCATGTTCTCCCTCAGTCCACTGAGTTCAGGCCTACCCACGTGACTTGCTGTGGTTACCAGGATAGGAGTGGACACTATGGATGGCCTTGCTGAGCAAAGTGCTTGTGTGGTTGGCTCTGTGACCCCCTCTTGTTGTGTTCTTTCATCATTAGGGCAAAGTTCCAAATGTTGCTATATCTAGTAATAGAGCAGTGGAGCCGTCTCCACTCCATGGGACGCTTGCTATGTGCGCAGCAGGAGGCTTATGTTGTTGTAAGCTACTGAGCTAGTTGTTACACAGCATAAGCTAGAAAATGTGACAAACACAATATTCTCAAGTGTACCATGAGCTTTTTCTAATACCATATATCTTATGTTTCTAATTGTATGTCTTGTTGACATCTACCTAGTTTGGTTAAAAATTAACTTGTTAGGATTTTCTGATTTTTTTTTCTGCCAAAGAAGTTCCTCCTTATAATTTCCCTATTTCTATAAATAAGATCTTGATGCCTTGAGGCAACATGAACTTTGAACCTTGGAATCAGCTTCAATTTTTCTCTTTTTGCTACTTCTACATTTAGGTAACTGCCAAGTCTGTTAAACATACTCATTTTATCTCAATGAATGTTTATGACACCTATTTTTTGTTGTTGTTTTGTTTTGTTTTGTTTTGTTTGGTTGAGACAGAGTGTCACTATGTAGTTCAGACTGGCCTTGAACTTGCTACATAGCCCAGGCTGGCCTTGACTCACGATGATCCTCCTGCCTGAGCCTCTCAAGTGCTGGGATTATAGGTATGCATCACCACGCCTGGCTAGGACACCTATTATAAATCTAGCATGATGCTTCTCTCTATGTGGCTTAAGGATGACTAAATCACAGCCTATCCCCTCATGTTTTCAGTCTTGTCTGGCAATACAATCATAAACATGATTTCAGTGTTCTGAAGTTCACATAGTGCTAAAATTATTTGGTAGATGGACAGAAGGATGTATAACCTAGCCTGGGAGAAGCTGGCTAGGGGAAATGATGCCAAGTTAGCATTGCAGGTAAGTAGTTCTGAGGACAGAAGATGGGGATATGGCAGACAGACAGACTATTCTGAAGAGAACAGACTATTCTAAAAAGGACAGTATGACTGAGTGTAGAGAATCTGGGCAGCTACATACTATTCAGTATAAATATTCACATTTAGTGACCCACCTGCTCAACAGGCTTATGACCAAGACGTGCTATTCAGACTTACAACCCATCTTTTTTCTTTTTTATACAGTTCTGTACATCTTATTCATATGGCTTCAATATCTTCTTTTGTGCAGTATACCTTGTATAGTACTATAATTTGTGCTGTATAATACAGTGCTACAGTTGTATGTTCTGTTACACATTACAGCGCTGCATATAAGAGTCATGCAAATAAAAGCAAAGTCATCAAGTTGGAGATTCCTCTGACCATTCCTTTGCTCTGGATGCTGTAATGTACATGCTATGTACGAGTCTTCATTTAGCCACCAAATCATTTAACCACCCAGTCACAGGAACTGAACTGAAACTTTAAAGAAAAAAGTCTGCACTCCTTAGAAAATACGGTGAAGCAGGGTGTGGATGGAGATGAGATGGGAAAATTAAGCAGAATATAATAGGCATCCTGAGATAAGTATAGGGTTCAGGCCTGCAGAGTGTTGGAAGATAGGCAAAGTCACATCCTTCTTCAATAGAGACGGTAGATCATTTTTATGTTAATTAAAACAGGAAGTATTGTATAGCACCTACAATATCAAATACCATTCTAAGTGCTGTATACATATTAGCCCATTTAACCACCCTAGCTCCCTTAGGAAACACACATTACTACATACTATGATCTACTTTTTACATATAAATAGAAGGAGGGAGAAAGAGATGAAAACATTTTTCTATGGACATAACTAAGAGGTAAGAAGTCTAGATTTGAACGCGACAGTTTGACATCCATATTCAGTTGTTGAACTACTATATTTTGCTATGATTGGGTGTCAAGCAACAAGTTAGAAGGTGACTGAAAAATGTTTGGTAAACAAGGTAGGGTTAGCGTGGTTATCATGGGTTAGCTTTAGGAAAGTTTTATGTAGTTGTGTATGCAAGGCGTGAGATTGACGGAATGAACGAGAGCTCTGGAAAGAAACTCATCAGCCTTGACTTGGACTGACAAGTTTGCTTGGTATCATTAGTGGTGTCATAAGTGGAATGTGAAACATGTGGGGCAGCTGATTTGGGAGAGAAGTAAATTCTATTTGGCACATGCTGAGTATGGAAGCCGGACTATAGTAAAGTGAAAACTTACTTAGGGACAAGAAGATAGGAAAAGCAAGGTTCCACTGACACCGTGCTAATTTGGGTGCTTTTTACTCACATCTGAAGTGTGTGGCAGCAGCCTCCCGACAGACTCCCTTGGTCATTATCGCCCTCCTTCAATGAATTCTGCAACCAATGTTAGCATAATCTTCTGAATGTGCCACTTCAGTGATGTTCTCCACTGCACACACATCTAAGGCTCCCCAGCTTCTGATTTCTCCCCTCTCCCATCTGAACTCAAGGTCTCAGAAAATCAAGCCCCATCTGTACATCTAGCCCTGTTGCCTCTCTTCTGGCTTTATGTTCTCAGCTGTTTCCTGCCTTCCCATGGTTTCCTGTAACTTTCCTCTCCCATGGCTAACTTATAGGTACCTGCCCTCATTTCGATATTCATAACAAAAATCTTTTCTTTCATAAGCTTTCCCTAATTACCCTAGCCATAAGTGGACACTGCTGCTTCTAAGCTTTGACTGTTTCACCAACTATTTCATAGGCTTGTACACAAGAACTAATTATCAAAGGCATTTACTTCTCACCTTAAGATGCAAACATTTTGTACCCCTGTCATCTTCCACCTATAAATGTAAGTTAATAAATTCACCAGTATCAAGGTAAAACTGACCATGTCTTCAAGTATACTAACCATAAAAAATAGCTCATCTTGGGGCTTCACAAAGGAAATAGTTATCTTTTTCCTAACAAATCTTACTGGTAACTATATCAGTTGGCTTTGATTATATTTTCACCACCTCTGACATGACACATATACAGGAGCGATGGGAGAGAAGAAGGAATACACATATCATTGAGAATGTGTTGAGAGCCCTAGACTATATTTCATATGAGTCCTACAAAATTGTAAAAGCAGAGTGTTCACATGGTGGTGGATCAGCTCATGAAGCAAAGACACTGGAAAAAGCAATCTGATAGTAAATGCAATGCAAGGAGTGAGAAGGGATATAACCTCCACTCAAGTTTCCAAGCTCACTTACTTATGGCCATGTCAACCTCCAGTTCCGTCCTTTCTATAAAACAAGGCCTGTGCCTTAACAGTGCCACTCCCCATGCGTATGATATGCATAGGTTGACATGTTGCAAGCATGATTCTTTAACAGGTTATTTTACTTCTTAAATGTGGAGAAATTGGCTTTAAGACCTAGATCACAAGTGATATGGGAACAGAGATTTGTCTCTGGGTTGTGGATTCCTAATAGGATCTAGTGAAGAACTTAGAGGAGATGCCTTATAGACAGTTACTATACAATAATCCCTAAAATCTCAGGCATGTCCTTTGGGATCAGACTGTTTGGTGGGAAGAAAATGCTGTTCCAGAAAAGGCAATCCTGGGAAACAAAGACAAAACAGAAAGCAGCAAAGACAAGACAGAGGGCATCACAATATGTGACTTGAAATTATATTATAAAGCTACTGTGATAAACATAGCATGGCACTGGCAAACAAACAAATGAAAGCCCAAAGATCAGTGGAACAAATTAGAAGATTCAGACAACTCCAGACACGCTAAGCCACCTTATCTTTGACAAAGGTGCCCAAACAGACTCACTGGAGAAAGATAGCCTCTTTTATAAGTGGTGCTGGAAAAACTGGACCCATATCTTTCTCTATGCACTAAGCTAAAATCATAACAGATCTAAGATCTCCATATTAAGACAGAAACAATG